CTAGCAATGTTAATGCGCTTCGAGACATCTTGCATGACTTCTGATGTCTTCGGTCTAGGAGATTCATTCATTTTCTTTCAATTTACTAATACTGAGTCTATTGTACACATTGATGTGTTCGGTAACTCTGTTGTTTACGAAAAAAAAAAGAATTTATTTTACTATCAAAATTATGATAGTTCTATTTTTTAGAAGATGTATGCTCGCTGTATCAACAACTTTGGTATTAGAATATTTCCATAATTCGTTCCATGTTATAGATATTCTATTCAATACTAGCTTGAGAAAACTTCAGATTGAGTTATAAGAATTTTATTATGGAGTTAAAAATGTGCATATTGATAATCGTAAAAGAATGTATTTCACATAAAAAAAAGAAACAACTTCTGTTTTTGTTTTCTCGTTCGGATAACGATAAATCAACAGTTTGTTATATCTTGATTTCATAATAGAAAACATTAAGAAGTTGTTCAGCACATCATATGATCGTCGGCAATCTTCTCCTTCTTTCATATAAATTTCTCTTTCGCCAGAAATAAAAATATTTTGCGAGCATTCTCAATAGCTTGATATGAATAATTTTCATCTAAGATATTGTAATGATACTCGACCACTAACCAATTATTACACAGAGTTCAGTGTTATCTAATCACTTATATATAATAGTTTTATTGTTTCAAGCAACATATATATATATATAGGTAGTCCAAAAAGTATTCGGACACCTATATATCTTGATTTTCGAAGTGGCAACAAGTGATATTAGTTTTCTTTTTTCTTCAGTAGATAGTTCTCACTTCATACTAGATTCTCTATAAAAATAAACAATTTTGATTATTATCTCGAATTACGGGAACGTTTCTCATTGAAATGTCCAATTTTCCAATATGTTAGGTACTTACTTTTCGGACATCACAATTATATTATTTGCATACCGCTAGAACGAGCAAAGCGAGCTCTATCTGTTAGCATAATATTTCAATAAAGAAAGTTAATTTTCACAATATGAACTATTTCAAAAGAAATCAGATTCTTGAACATGCTAAATACGACAGTGCGAGGAAAAGATCACAATGAATTTTTTATTAAAATTAATTTCCAAATATACCGTTAAAAAGCCTGTCAAAAGCTGCACAAAACAAGGTCTATCTACTGGTGAAAAAAGAAAAAGTGTATTTCTTGTTTCTGATTCGCAAGCCAAGAAATACGAAAAAACATGGGTGTGTCCGAATACTTTTTGGGCTACCTGTATATACAACAATGCGGAAATACGGGAAGTTCACTAGAGAGTACGAGAGAGAACATACATGCTCCATGTAGAAAGAATGAAAAACAAAACAAATAAATCTAACCAGATAGATTAAAGAAAAGATCTACAACCATCGCCTTCATGTATGTTCATCTCGTTGAGAAATATGACTTAGTTTCTTCGAGTGACGACTAACTTCTTATTGAGGTTAACTAATGGCGTTATTACATGATTATTCGACTTTCCCCACCTCGTGATTGTTAGTAATATTGCGAAGCAGAGTTCGACTCGGGTCAAACCAACAGTCTGAAAATTGTTCATATAAAAAAAAAAAGAATTTGAAATATCGCTTTCGTTTCAAACTTCTACTAGATGGCATGAATAAGCTTAGTAGAACAAAAAATTGTGTCTTGAATCCTCTTTTCTTCTACTTGACCGATTTTTCTCTATTCAAATCGGACTATGATACCTACTAAATAAATTGTCTATTCATGAGGATATAGAGATATCCAGCAGAGTTTTACTCTTGTCGAACACTGTTGTGGAGACCTTTCTTCTGAATGATCATGAGATTTTCAAACAACTCCGTAAATTTTTACATCTTCATAAGAATAGTTCGACTATCAAAAAAAACCTACATTATCAAAAATGATTTGAATGTTTATTAATTACATTCCAACGATTTAATTATTTTATTTGAAAACTATTATTATGACACTTACTTTCATCATTTTGATCAATAATATCTTCTTCTTCATCAGTTCCATAATTTTCATCATCATCATAAATATCATTTAAACAAATTGTATTAACATATGGACAACGTTTTAAAAATGGTATTATATTAACATCACTTGTTTCACTTAAATCTAATCGTTTAACTTTTTTAAATGATTTTGATTTATCTTTTGATAATAAATTTTCATTTGTACATTTATAAATATCAAAATTTGAAAATGGATATGGTACTGTATAAATATGAAAATAATCTGAATCTAAATTATCTTCATCAATATGCCAATAACATTGTGTATACCATTTTTTTGTTTCTAACCAAAATGATGTATAAAATGTTGATAATGTTTGTTCTTCATATGTTGGTTGAAGAAAACGTGCAATAGAAAATTGAAATGTATCAAGTTTATAAACAAGTGTTTGTAAAATATTTCCATCAAAAAATAATCGACATTCAGTTGTTAAATTAAGTGATAGAGATTTTAAATTTGGAAAATATGCTAAAAGTTCAAATAGATTTTCAAATTTAATTGCTAAATCATCAGAACGAAAATGAAATTCTTGAAGATGTATTAATGGTGGAAATGGTGTTATTGTATAATCATATGTTGATTTAGCATCACCAATATGTACATTTAAATATTCAAGATGTGGTTGATAAATAAGAAGTAAATGTAGACTACTTAATGATTGAAGAGGAATTGTTAATCGACGAAGAATAGACAATTGACCAATGTTCATAATATTCAATGACTAAAATATAATTATAGAAAAAATAATTAAACTAAAGTAAAATATTATATAAAAATCGTTCAAAGATTATTACATGATATATTTTCTTATTAGAATAGATAGATATAATCATTAAGATAAACGATTGATAACAATATTTATCCTATCGTTTAGTTGATGTAAGGTAGACTAAGAATAGAGGCTTTCCAAGCTACGAAAAAACTTACTCTATTAATCTGTAATGTGTTACTGTTTTGCTATATATCAATTTTAGAGCCTTCAATTAATGTAAGATTAAAGTAGAATATCTATTTTTCGATTTGATCTTTCATAACAGATTTTAAAACTTTTGTATTATTTTCAATAAAAAATATCTCGTTAGTAGAAATGCATCGATAAAATTTCGCTTATTGTAATATCTCACTTTTTGCATACAATTGAAGGTGTTCTATCAAGAAGAGAACATATCTAAATGTTAATCGCCAAACACAGTGATATTTTGTCCATAAGTAGGACTCGAAAAAATCTGAAAAGATTTCTTCATATAGACGTTCTTTTGATCTTGAGTATATTCTGAAAGTTTCAGCCGTAGTAAATGATACCTTCTCAATATATTAGATACTAGAAAAAAGTTGCCTTTATGAAATTTTTGTGGCATATGATTGTTGTTTTAAATATTCAATATTTCAACAATACACCATTCATTTTGATTGAAACTTTCAGAAATTTATGGGCAAAAGTTCGATAAAACGATTATCACTTCATCAGAAACATTCACGAGAAGTAGTTGCAGACTTTTCGAATCTCACTTATAAGCGAAGATCACCAACTACTAAATCGCTTTTGCATTGAGACTAAATGCATTATGCAGATTCAAATGATCTGTAAGCATTCTGAAAAGAGTTCGTACGCTTAGCTTATTGCTACATAGATAATGCACTTTTATGATGTTTTTTAAATGAATGTTGTGATAACAGAAAAACTGATTTCCGAATTTTGCTTTGAAACATTATATATAAACAGGCTTTAATGAGAATATCAGATCTACTAAGGTTTATCGGAATAATGTAAAATACAGGTTGTTAGCATAGTTGGACTCAGGATAGGGTCAGCAACAAGATCTGAAACATTCATTACCACAGCATTTGTTCAAAAAAATACCGAAAAACGGCAGTATCTTTATAGTAATAAACTAATAGCGCGAACTCTTTTCAAGATATTAATAGCTCATTTCACTCTACCGAATACATGCAGTCTCAATACAAAAACTATTGAACAGTTGGTTACTTTCTCTCGTGAATCCTAGCTATATACAAAGTATCACTTTGATCGACGAGATTAACAAATCGATATAATTCTTCATTAGACACAAACTAAGGACTGTGTCAAAACTGTTATTTTACTTTGTATAGACATAAATTAAAAACTTTTTCATAAAATTTACTGATACCTGTTTAATCTTACCCTGCAAAAAAAACCTAAACATATACTGGGAAAAAAACAAAAAAATTCTAATTTCCACTTTAACCAATTATCTTTCAATAATCAAAAAATGAGTGTATATTTTTATGTGAAGACTTTCGTACCAAAGATAAGTTACATCTTATATGTATGAAATAGTATTAAAAACTTACATCTGAATCATTACTATTTGATAATGATAAAAATGATAAATGACTTAAATCAAATATAATATCTCCAAATAATTCAATTGATTTTAATGTTGGATGATGAAAAAAAAGCATTTGTGCTATTTTAAAACCATATAATTCTTGATGTTTCATACAATCTATATCTGTACATTCAATAATTAATTCTTCAACTACTGATTTATTCATTAATCGATTAATAAAATAATAAATTTCATATGTATTTAAATGAAATAAACATAATTTTTTTAAATTTGGTGGTAAAATATTATCTGTATTATCGAAAAATAATTTTGTTAAACATAATATTTGACAATTACTAATTGTTAATGATTCTATTGATGACCAAATTGTTGGAATAATATGACGAAGTAAATAAAGATAATTTTTATAGGAAATTATTGATGATAAATGAATATGATGAATAAAATCACTTATTGTTTGATTTAATCTATAATTGAGTCCACCAAATGATAAAAGAATATCAATTGGATGTAAATAACGACATATTTCAAGAATTATTTCATCTGGAAAACTTCTTTCAAACGACATCTGAAATAAAATATTATTTATTTATGTTAAACAAAAAAAAAAGAAAAATTCATATTTTGTTTTTTTTTTGTTTTTTTTGTTTTTCAAAAACACAAATAAATTTCATCATCAGTCTGTTTAACATCAACTTTTTCAAGATCATGTGAATGTAAATAACCAATAAGCCATGACATAAAATTTTTTAGAATATTAACTTCGTGAATATATTCTTCAATAGATAAATTTAATGTTTTTAATATTGGAGCCATTTTTTGAAGAATAAGTATTGTTAATGGATATAAATCATTTGGATTCATAAGCGATAATGATAATGAATCAAGATGAGAAAAAACTAATGGTAAACGCTCAAACATAGCATAATTATTCACATCATTAATTGATCTAAATAATAAATTTTTAATCTTGTTAATCAAATCAGTTTAATATTTGATTTAAATAATTTTAAAAGAAGAATGGATCATAAGTTTTTTTTTTTTTATATTGACTTTTATTATAGAAGGTAACTAGGAAATGATCAAATAATAGCTTTGGTAGAAAATGTTTGTCAACTTTCGTTTTAGATTCGAAATGTTTCCTCATCTATATCTAATGCAGATGTTTTAGCAATAATTTCAAGCTTTTTACTTTATATTTTATTCATAAGTAGAGGACATCTGAACTAGTTCAATTAGAATCTTCATTAGACATTACTAACAAACCGTTTCAAACCTCAAGCCATTTCAAACAAATGTCGATAAAAGTTTTCAGGTCAAGCTGTTTGCTGATCACTTCCTACGTTACACAATTACGTGACAAGAAAAATCTTTTACAGAAAAGTGGTTGAACTTACTCTTACAAACGATCATAATAATTATAATGGTGAAATCGATGAAGCTTGACAGACTTTATAAAAAAAAAAAAAAACTTATCTGGTCCATCTCTAGTAAAGATGTATTTTTTTAAAACTCAATATCTTGAAGAAGAAATATTCTTTTCGACCGAAACTTTCAAAATATTCTAAGAGTCATTAGACCTCTTCATAGACAATTTTAGATCAATATTTCGTTATTCGCTCTTCCAGAATATACCTACAAATAGATCAAAAATCCACTAAACTAATTATAACTCGGCGCTAAAAAACCAATGGGGACGAGCCCTTTTAGGCCATAGCTACTCTTACTGAGACTTATCTATGGATTCAATACGAGCTGAAAACGACGAGTATCACTTGAAGTAGTTTTCTCAATAAGAGTAGTATCCGATCATTCTTTATTCGATTTGAAAATTAACGCTTCAATGTTGTGCGTCCATGAGTTTCTTTTTTTTTTCCATGATGTGTTCCGATACACACCAGAGATGTCCATCGCGGCTCAAAATCTGCCGCTGCCGCGCCGCGGCAAAAATCAAACAAAGCTGCCGCGCCGCTCCCGCGACGCGATGGCCTGTCAAAAAAAGTTACCGCGCCGCTGCCGCGACGCGCCTTAAAAAAAAACTTGCCGCTACCGCGCCCCTGCCGCGCTGGTATTCGAAAAAATGCTTTGATTTTCAAGGCTTTGACTGGTTTGAAATAGAACTGATGCCGCTAATCGATCAGATTCGCTAAGTCTTACAGTATAGCATACATAAACATGCAGATTCTGTGCAAATTCATGAATTTTTGAAATTTTTTCCTAAAAAGCTGCCGCCGCCGCGCCGCTGCCGCGACGGCAAAATAAAAATCTCTCCCGCGCCGCTGCCGCGCCGCGATAGTTTTTGGAAAAAATCTGCCGCTGCCGCGCCGCCACCGCCACGGCGGCAGCGGCGGGGCAGCGGCGCGATGGACATCTCTGATACACACATGATGTCATTAAACTATTAAAGCTCATAACATAGAAAATGATTTCTTACGTTATTTTTAAATGTTTAATTAATTTTGTTAATTGTTGACAAACATGTTGATCACTTAATGTTTTTGTCATTTGAATTAAATTCAAAAATGACATTGAAAGTGATTTAAGTTTTGTTGTATAATCAAGTAAAATAAGCATTGATGATGGAAAATTATTTTCAATAAATTCAATTGATTCTAAATTTGAAAATCTAACTAAATGAGATATATCAACTAATAACATTCGTGGTAATCTTTCATTATGTTGAAATCTTGAAATAAGTATTAAATTTTTAACATTAGAAAAACATGATTGTGGTAATTTTAAATTTTCATTAGAATTTCTTAAATATAATGTTAGTTCATTAATATTTTCAAATATATTAATATTATTAATCGTTTTTTCAATATATGTATCATAAAGACTAACATCAATTTTATTACTAGGCAATGGTAATGAAAATAAATCAATCATTGGTGATGATGGATGATGTAAAAATGCAAAATACCAATCATGTGATAAAAAATATTTTGTTTCAAATGTTTTAAGTAATTGAGTACGTAGATTTGGTGTTGATGCATCTATATCTGGAAATGTTGTATGTAGAATAAATTTTATTAAACAAGGAAAATATGTAGATAAAAGTCTTTCCCATTGTCTACCTGTGATAATAAATTTAATAAGAAATTAATTATCAATATAATTTACTTACCATCGGCATAACCAATACCTATTGCATTGATATGTAATCGTTTTAAATATGGTAATGAAATTAAGATTAATTGTTCAATTCGATCAAATGGTATTCGACATTCTTTAATAATTAATGTTTCAAGATTATGTTTATTTTCTATTTTTGGAAGTAATTTTATTGAATTATAATCATCATTAAGTGTAATTGTTAAATGATGAAGTTGAGGTGTATAAATATGAAGAAAAGATAATAAATCATTAATATGATATTGATTTATTGTTAAATATTTTAAATTCGAATAACAATGATCACCTTCAATAATAATTCGTTTATTAAAATTAAGTATACATTTTTCAATTGATGGCATTGATTCTTCAAAATAAAGTTCATTATTATTAATTAATTCATTTGATATTTGTAAATTTAAATAAATAAGATTTGGAAATTTTTTTAAATGTGGTATTATATATTGTAGTGTAGTTTTTTTAATATTTGTTATTGTTAAATATTCAAGTGAAATAAAATTTGATAAATGTATATGATGAATTAAACGATCGAATATATCTTCACAACGTAATGATATAATACATTGAGATGCAATAGGAAATAAAAAATAATTATAATAATCAAAAATTTGTTTAGATATATTTAATAAATCAATACGAAGACGTATTGAAAGAAGTAAACGATTATATCGTTGATTAAGATAAAAAAATGTTTCAAATATATTTACAGTTGGTAAATATTCAAATATTTCAAGTAAAATTTCATTTGGAAGAATATCAAATTTTGTTATATGTGTTTGATTAATAAACATTCTATAAATTTATTTATTTATTTTTAATCTAAAAATAAAATCGAACTATTTTATCAAACATCAATAGATCATATAAAATATTTTTTTCAATTAAAATTTTTGTTTTAAGCCATTCAGAAAATTGATTATCAAAACTATCTATATCTCTTACAATCAATGTTAATGTTTGTAATTCAGAATACAATGATAATGATGTTTGAATAAGTTCTAATATTAATTCATTAGTTAATATTTGATGTGATGTTAATAAATGTCGCATTCGTGTTGCTGGTGGAGATATTGATGAATAAATAGTAAATATTAATGTTAAACTTTTTAAATTATATATTGATTGTGTTTTTAAACATGTATATAATCGATAAGGTACAATTAATGATTTAAGTTTAGGTATATGATTTAAAAGTAAATTAATTAATTCTATTGGATATTGTCGAGTATCTTCTGGACAATTTAATAATGTTATATTTGATAAATTAACTATATTTTTTAAATTTTTAAAATATTCTATTGATTGAAATTGTCGACAATCATTCATTAAATTCGAATATAAAGAAAATTGTTCAACATTTGAAAAATATCGATATTCATTATTATCATTTGATAATGATGCAAGATCATTATGTAATACTAAATTTAATTTACTCACATAACGATAAGCCGATTTAATTGTTAATGGAGATGATGTACAACGACGAATATCATAAAGTGTTGTTTGAAAATTTTCTATTGGATATGGTACTGTATGTAAAACAAGTTTAAGACGATCATGTTCATTTACATTAATTAAAACATTCCAATGATGATCAAGAAAATATTTTGATTGATTAAATGATTTAACAATATTATCAAGATCTGCTTGACTTGCAGTTACATAATTATGAGGAATTTGATCAAGAGAAATAATTAAATGAAAATGTTTTAAATGAGAAAATTTTGATGAGAGAACTGTTTCCCATAAATCACCATTTGCATATTCAATTGACCAGGTTGAAAGTGATAATTCACGAAGATTAGATGGTAAACGTAAAAATAATATTTTTGTTGCAACTGTAAACGAAATTTCAGCAAGTTTAGCTCGAAAATAAATTAAATGAGGTACAAGAGTAGTAAAATCATCAATTGTATTAAGAGATAGAACCATCGTTCTAAAAGAAAGAGAAAATATCTATTAAGGATCAGTTAAAACTTTGTGAGGGTCTACTTGGCTTCCAGAGAAGCGTCTCTCTATTGGCCCTTACACTGAATAAAATACTAATTTCGAGAAAAGTAAAATTTAGACAATATCATTCTTAGACATTATAATTTTTAAGTGAGAGACAAGAAACAAAGAAGAAAATTATACTTCAGTTCTTTCACTTAAGTGAATAAAAAATTCAAGTTTGTAGTACCATTAAGCAAATTGCTGTTATTGAAGTTAAGAAAGCTTTTTTTTTTGTCGGAAAGTAACATGTTCAATAAGCAATATCTTAAAAAATGTTTACTCAGTACTATTTAAACAGCTATTTCAAGGGAATTTCTGTACCTATTAATAAACTTTTGCATTTATTTAAGATGTTAGGTTTAATTGCGTAATCTAGCGCTATAAACTATATTCAAAATAGTTTTTTTTTTCTTGGTTCAGCTTTTCTGTCAGAATAAATTTTGAAATAATTTCGTGAAAACCTGTGAACCTAAGTTCACAGGCAACATTTCAGACAAAACAAGACTTGATCACCTTTCATTTGATTTTGATTTTTCAAAATGTTTTTTTTCTTTTCAGTAAGTTCTTGTAGCATAGACATACAGAATATATCAAAATTCTTCAATAAAGTTTATTTTCAATGTTTTCCGCTGCCATCAGCGTTAGAAAGAATTCAAATAATAATTTGAGTAGAGAAAATTGTTTTCAAAAAAATATATACAAGGAAATAAAGATTATAATCAAATATTCAAAGACAGGAACACCAAAAACTCGAAAACCTAATTCGTCAACATCTTGAACTCATAACTATAATGTTGCTTTGCCTAAATAGAGTGAAATAAATTAAACACGTCTCTACAAAATAAAATGTCTTTGAATTCTCTGCAATGGTTTTTAGATGAGATACAACATTTCAACTAAAGATCAAAAAATAACTGTTCTATAAGAAATAGTAAAAAGATGTTAAGTGCTCCCCTACGATTGTTGTATTTTAGCTAAAAATTGTTACAAAAAGTTTAGAAACATCTTATTTTATGAAGAATTGTTTTCTCAATCGTTTCATCTAGTCTAAAATACATATATATAAAGGTTCTACGTATAGAAAAAACTAAAGTTTTTGGTGTTTTACAGCTTCAATCTTTAGGAATCTAATAATAATAATAATAATTTTTTCAACTCGAATTACTGATTGGCTTCTTCCTAGCACTCGTGACAGCGAAAAAAAAATTACAATAAAACTTTATTAAATAATTTTAGCATCCACTATACCTTAAAATATTGGCTCTGTCAGCTGAGTATTAACTTAATATTGATTAGCAAATATATCTAATCATACGAGAAAAAAATTCGAAAACTTCAAGATAAACTACGAGATGAATCGTATCTATGATGAAATTTCTAGTAAGACTTCAATTTATTATTCCGAAATCACATCACTAACGAATGGTTTCACCTATATCTTGCATGTATGAGAAAAACCTGCTTTATTACTTTTTCTTATTCTATTACTATAAATTTATCGACTAAATTTTATAGAGTGATATTAATTTAGCAAAGCGATTGCTCGTAGAAAATATTTCGATATAAAATCAATAATTTATTTCAAATCTACAATGTGACGGTTATTTCATATAGGTAAAAAAACAAAACTCATATTTGAAATTCAAATTAAATCAAAGAAATAAATTATAGTTCTTCACTGATATAAAAGTAGCACTTTTAAGGTTTCTTATAGACAAAACAAAAAAAAGAAAGAAGAGTTATTTTATCTAAGATTAAATTCAACATTACCCTTTGATATTTGAATCAAATAAACGAACAGTTAAACGTTTAATATTAGGTATAAAATGAAGTAATCGAATAAAATCTCTTAGACGACACCATTGATCAAGAATTAAAGTTTTTAAAGATAATGTTTTATTTATTGTATCTAAATGATCAAAACTCAAACGACTATAATCTTGAAAACTTAAATAACAATATGTTAATGAAGGCATTTGTTCACTTAAAATAATATTAGTTAATAAATTAACATCTTGATCTTTTAATCGAAATTCTGTAAATAATCGTAAATAATTTAATTGCTTTAATTTCATTAACACATTATTAGCTAATAAATTAATATTTTCTGTATGCAAATGATAAATTATTAATGACCGTAAATTCTGACATTTATTTATCGAATGAAGACGACTAGTTATATCATCAATATATAATGATTCTATCCAATTATATTCAATATTTGGAAGAATAATATTAAGAAAATAATTAAATTGATTTTGATTTATATATAAAAGATTAAAACGATAATGTATCAAACGAAGAATTGTATTAAAACGTTGATTGAGATTAAAAAATTTATGAAATAAATCTATGGGTGGTATATATTCTAAAATGAGCCATAAAAGCTCATTTGGTAATTGTTCCAATCGGCTTGTCATCAGAATAAGTATCTAAAAACTTATAATCAAAATTAAAATAATATCATGTCTTTGAAAGTTTTGGAATTAAAAAATCGTTCTACATATTAAGAAATAAATTCTAATTCTATGTTAAAGATCACTGTAAATCTTCGATTAAGTCAACTATACTGTTCACTCTATCAATTATTTAATCACAATTGTTGTCTTGTTTCTTTTTTTCTTTTAAATTGAACAAACTCAGAATTATTAAGTCATTAAACAAACAAGAAAAAAATTAAAACAGAAGAAAAAAACAAAAAAAAGATTTAAAAAAAAATTTAAAAAAAAATTATTTTTCTCGATTAAATATTTCATTTGATTTAAGTAACCAAACGATAAGTTATATAACGACCAGCAGTTTCTGATGTTCGAGTAATTCGTACTACCTGCAATATTAAACAAAATAATAAAGTTAATTGATATAAATTTTAACTTACTTGACCACGACTTAAACCAAAATAACGAGCAACTGGATCACCGGATTGAATACGTGGTAATTGACTTTCTTTAAGTCGACTTTAATGATAATATTTAAACAAAAGAAAAAAAAAAACACTAGTTTTTCTTCTTACTATCTTTGTAATAACTCTTGTTTTTCTTCTTGTGTTAAGATAATATGTTGTGGAACAAGCTAAACAAGTTTATTTTAAATAAAACACGCTAGTATTCATTTAACGAGTGTTTCTCATTATCAAAAAGAAAGTGTTTCACCTTCTGATATTATAAGGAAACCTTCCCAGGTGCCAGAGCGCTTTTCAGTCGAGGTTTCGCGCATCTGTTAGCTGTTAGTGAGCTGTGTCTATGGTAAACGAAGTTCGGGTTTCTGAAGAGATATCGAGCTTCTAGTGAATTTTCTCTATAGTACGCCCACATTGGCAGCAAAGCGATACTTTCGAATTTTGATCTGAAACGTTGCCTGCATAAAAATCTCAGCTAGACTAATTTGCAATAAAAATTTCAGAAGTTTTGAATAAAGTCTCTCTAAGATATGAAACTATCAAGATACAGTCCCTTTTTCATAAATAATATATATATACTATGCATTTTTGCAACGCTTCGTATCTTGAAGAGACTTTGTCCAAAACTTCTGAAATTTTTTATGCAAACTAGTCTAGCTGAGGCCTTTATGCATACAAATTTTCAGATCAAAATTCGAAAGTATAGCTTTGTTGCCAATGTGGACGTACTATAGAGAAAATTCACTGGAAGCTCCATATCTCCTCAGAAACAAGCCAGAAGTCCGAACTTTTTTTTACCATAGACACAGCTCACTAAGAGCTATAAGATGCACGAAACCTCGATTGAAAAGTGCTCTGGCATCACGGAAGGTTCCCTTGTTAGTGTTTTATCTAATGTGAAGTATTGAAACAATTCCTATAATATCAGAAGATGGAACATCAACTTTGATCTTTCCACATATTCACTGTGAAGCATTTGATAAACAAATCTTATTCAAACTCTTACATTATGTTCTGTAATATTAACTAATAATTCACTTTCAAGAAAAACTTGAAATTGAACTTTTTTATTTTCTAATTCATTAACAACTACCTAAAGTGAAAGAAAAAACAATTTTTATTTTTAGCCTAAAAATGAAAATTTCAGTAAAACAAAAAAAAAAGTTTTACATCACGAGCCATTGGTGTTAAACCTTTTTGAACAATAAGTATTGTACTTGTTAAATGTTCATCTTCCATTTTTTTACAATATTCTTTTATTTCTTTAACACCAATCTTTTCTTGATCAGAAAATCTTGCCACTAATGTATTTGTTGGATCATCATTATGTGCAACTAAAACATTTAAATGTGATCGAACTGGTTTATTTTCACTAGATAATATTGAAATATAAAATTTTCATATTAGAAAAAAAAAAAGAAATTAAATTCACCTTGGCTTATCACCAAACGTATCTTTAAATTGATCCAATGTTTGATCAAGTTCATCTTGACTTACAAGATAACCACGATCATGACACATCTTTCAAAAGAAGAATAATTAAATCTTTTAGAAAACAAACTTCATTTTTTGTTTGTTTTTACTTGTAAAACTGTTCTTCGAATACGCCATAAGTTATATATTAAAGTTTCATCATCCATATCGAAATCTAAATACAGTAAAATATGTAATTTTCAATAAAATTCTATTGAAAATGGATTACTTTAATATTTTGTAAGTATTTTTATTGACTCGACAATATTAAATTTCATTGGTCATCTCTATTGACTAATGAAAAATGAATTTTTCATATAGCGACATTTACTAATTCTTTATTCATCAATGCTTGCAGCTCTCTTTCAATTTACACGTGATCTATATTATAGACGTTTGATTACTTTTTATGTATAACTTTAGATGAAATCAACCATGAAAAATTTTCCATTATTAAATGAAATTGATGAGCAGAACAATTCAGATAATATTGATTGGAATACAAATGCTTTTCAAACATTACTTGTTTGTTTTTTTATATAAAATAAATAATAATAATTAACATTTTTGTCTTTATTAGACGTCTAATTTACCACCAACAACAATATTTTACTATGCTATTGATGTTGGTTTTCGACGATTAGAAAGTAGTTTATATGAAACTTATTGGGATGTTACAGCTGATGCTTTAAATGAGTAATAAAGATTTTCTTTGTTTAATCAATAAACAAATATATGCATTTAATATTATTTTTAGTTTATCTGATTTTTTGTTTAATACATCATCTAGTAATGATATTGATCCGTATTTAATTGAAGCAAAATGTCAATTATTAATGTATGCATCGATTGCAATCATTAAACTACATATACTTGTATATATCTAATTATTGATTTCTTATTTTTGTTTATTTCAAATCTTTTTTAGAGACGTCGATCAATAAATGAAGCTAAAATGTCTTGTGCAACAATATGTTTATTATTATTAGAACAAAGTAAATCCTATGAAACTCTATTAATTAAAAATCAATATTCATCTTGTATTCATTCAATGCGTCTTCGATATTTAAAACGAATGTTTATTATTGGTAAAATAAAAAAAATATTATTATTATCATATATATTTTAATTAGAATTTATTTTAATTATTTTAGGACAATGGTTATCAACTTTATCAAAAGTACAATTTAATGATATACAATCTAATCATGAACAATATGTAACAAAAAATATTGATTTTTGATTTAAGTGTTTCTTTATTTGATAATATTTATAGGTTGAAACTATGATTAATCATTTATTTACATCTGTATCATTAAGAGATAAAATTAATGGATTTATCGATAATTGTTTACTAAGTAATACTAATAGTGGAAATGATTGTCCTGATAATGAAACAACATCAAGTGGTTTTGTATTTATTCGACGTTTTCCAAAATTTAATGAAAAAACTATTGAAAAACATAGTGATCTTATGCATATGGGTCTTGTCAATACATTAAATCAATGTAAGAAAAATTAGATAGAATTCATTTATTGATAGTTGATTGTTCTATTGCTCTCAAATTCGATAGCAAGTGCTATCATAAAAACAAAAACTTCTTTATTCAAAAACAAAAAATTTTTTTCAAAATTAAAAATTAATGAGATATAACAGAGACTATTCAATGTATGGGATAAAAGTAATTTTTGAATACTATTGAAAATTTTTTACGTAGGTTCTTATCAGAGATCAAATTATTTTCATATTTAATTCTTATGAAATAATAGAGTAGATAATTTTCAATGTTCATGCCAGAATTAAAGAAGACTGGATATAAGCTCACTAACTCGACAATAATCATAAAAAGTAATTGAAAGAGAATGTCTTTAAACATATTTTTACTATCAAATTCATCATTTTTGAAAAAATATCGAATAAATCTGTCAAAACGCTGTGTTTCATTTCGATGGAAGTGCGTTAAACAGAGAAACTTCGAATCAAGAGTTCAAGGTGCAATTCAAATGATTATCTTTTTTTTACATGTTACCATCGAGAAAATAAAGTCGTGTATCTGTTGACACCAACTATATAGAATTCTGTTGATTTTTAGATAGTTTTCTAACGCTGTATTAAAATTTTCTAGAACTGGTACATCATTTTTATGGAATGTTTTCAGAACGTGATCAGTTTCAAAATAAAAAGATATTTGGAGTTCTATTTTTTCGCTTATTGAAAATTGCAGATCTCTATTTGTTGTCATTGTCGAATTATTAAGTTTACATCTAACCCTGTTCAATTTTGGTGCGATCATTAGTTAATTCGACAATAACATATCCGTAAATCATTTTTACTTACGAGGGAAGATTCCCAACTGTCACATCGCTTTTAAGTCGAGTGTATGCGCATCATGTAGGCCCTAATGATCTATGAATACTCTGAAAAAAGTTCGTGCTGCTAGCTTATTACTCCCGAAATATTGCATTTTTACTGTATATTTAAGCAAAAAGCCGTGGTCCCCCTCAGGAACACTAAGAAAACTGAGTTTCAAATTTCGACTTGAAACTTTGTACATAGATAGGCCTCAATGAGAATAGTTTATTGTGAAAGTTTCAGATCTTTTGATTGCTCCTAGTCTGAAATAAGAACATCGGAATCTACTGATGTGTATAAGCGATTTTACCATAGCTGTATCTTAGGATAGGAACAACGAAAAGATCTGAAACTTTCACAATAAACTATTCTCATTGAGGCCTATCTATGTACAAAGTTTCAAGTCGAAATTTGAAACTCAGTTTTCCTAGTGTTCCTGAGGGGGACCACGGCTTTTTGCTTAAACATACAGTAAAAATGCAATATCTCGGCAGTAATAAGCTAGCAGCACGAACTTTTTTCAGAGTATTCATAGATCATTAGGGCCTACATGATGCACATACATTCGACTCAAAAGCGATGTGACAGTTGGGAATGTTTCCTCGTTAGTTGTAATTCATAGTAATATAAAAGTAAATTAAGCTTCATTTTCATCAGCTACTTTAAAGTTTTGACTATATAAACAGCGACAAAGTGAATTTTTTCTGACGATGGAATTTCTGTAACTGATAAATCGCTTTTGAATCGAAACTATGTGTATGACATAGATCCAAATAATCTATGAATAGCCTAAAAGAAAGTTCATGTTTCTAACTTATTGACGTGGAGATATTGTACTTTTACGGCCGTTGGTGAATGAATGCTGTAGAAACAGAAAATTATTTTCAAATTTCAACTTGAAACTTTACATTGTTTTATATATGGTTCATATAAACCGATAGATTCGTTTGTTCTTGTTTCAGGATAGAAGCAAATCAAAAGATTTGAAATATTCATGAAAAACTATTCATGTTAAGATTTGTCTCTATGTAAAATTTCAAGTCACAATTTGAAAATTTTTTTCTATTACCACAGTATTCATTCAAAAAATACTGTAAAAGTGCAATATCTTCATAGCAATAAGCTAAGAATGCAAAATTATTTCAGGATATTCATAGTTTATTTGAATTTATTCATTGATAAGAACTGACAATCATTCAATAACGATAATCATTTTCTTAAGATTAAATTTTCATATGAAATTTGTTTTTTCTGAATTCTATCATTTTAGTAAATAAAAATAATAGCCGAAAATTAATTTGTTGTATATGGACATTATGTTGTATGATTGAAGCTGATCGAGTATCACTTGGAGGTAAAGCAAATAATCAATATTAATAATTATTAAGTAATATTTTTGTTTCTTTTCTTCTAGTTTTGAATCGTTTTATAACACGTGAACATTTTTCTATTTTACCTATTGATTTTGAACAAAAACCGATTACAATAGAATCATTAAATGAATTAGATATTATTGTAAAATAGATAAAAATTTTGTATTTTTTTTTTTAAATAACTTTTTTTCCTTTCTCAAATAGGTTTTTCTTCTATTATGTGCACAACAAAATGTACATTTATATGATGAAGATTCAACATTACATCCATATTTATTTTATTCAATATCTCATTTATGTACACAAAATCAGAAAAATTGGTGGCAAACAGCTATGGAACAAACGTAAATGTAAATTTTATGAATATAATAATTTATTTGAATTTTTTTTTATTTTTAGTTTATACTCAGATTTTGTCAATCATCTTGCAATAATTCGTCTTGATGATGAAAGATACAATCAATATCCACCAAAAATTATTCTACTTGAAACTGCTAAAATTCTTTTTAAAGCAGTAAAATAATAATAATTATTATTTTTTTCTTATTATGAATAACATTTTATGTTTTAAGGCTCAGATTGAATATGAACAACATTCTAATCATTTGGCATTATTGTATGAACAATATGCTATTCAATATTTTCAAACAGTTAAAACAAATATAAAGAATCAGTAAGAAAGATAAATTTGAATAGAAAAAAAAATACAAACACAATGTTGATTTTCTAGGGAAATGAATGATTTATTTATAGATACAAATAATAAATCATTTTTCTTCTATCCGCAAAAAATAATAAATAAGACTAAAGAAGAAAATAAAAGATTTATTGAACATTTAATTGACGAATGTAAAAAACTTTCTCGACATTGTGACGAATTAAAAGTAAATCTTCACATTCTTGTTTAAATCTTAATGATTCAATATATTTATTTGTAGTTATTACCAGAACCACAATCACCAAGAGCATCCAGTCCGACCAAAGATGAAACAGGTTCCAATTAAAATAACTTTGAAAGTTTGAATATAGATTTCATTTTTCTTTTTCTTTTTAGGTTTTCATATTCCAGCTCTTTTGAGTCCTGTTCATATCGAAATAGAAGAACAATCTTCATTGGTAAATAATAAACTTATAAATTTTTGAAAAATATTCAGAGCTCTTTTGTCGATATTATCTTGTGTATATATGTTCATACAAATTTCATTATTCACTATCAATTGAACATAGTTAAACTCGAAAGGTTCCATTGACCGAGACTAGAAATGTCTCAAAATTCAACAGTGATGAAAACTTTTCGCTGGTTTCTTTTTTTCAGTTATTTAATTTTGAGAAATTTTGAAATGAAACGGTGAGAAAAACCATAGTGAAGAACTTCCTAAAAAGAAACTTGACAAGAATATCTTTGAAAAGTGATTGTAAATGTGAGAAATTTTCAAAAATTAGATATTTATTTTTGTGTCGCGGCAGCAACAGTTGAAATCTTCAACAACTATTTTGACAACAATAGTAATTAATATACCTTTAAAATGTTGTGACTGCTGGCGGTGACTTGATTGATCGATTTACACCTCTAAATGCGCATATTTGAAGTTTAGATAAAATGAATATACGATGAAAAATCATTTGCTGAAGACATATGTCAATATAATAATGGAGTTTTTTTTTAAATTTATTTCCATAGAATGATGATTCAACTGTATTTGTCACACCAACATTGAATAAGAGCCGTGATGTTCATGTTCAAACACTTGACGAAATAGTATCATCACCCATTACTACAATAGCAACAACTGAAGAAAATCACGAAACATCAACATCTCCATTACCACCATTTGTTGATATGTTATTTACTCATATGAATGGTGTTAATCAATGGATTAATAGATTTTGTACAGGTCATGAAGGAATTCAAAATGATCTAAGTACAATTCGAGTATGTACAATTTGATTGTCATTTTTCAATAAGATTATTTATTTATTTAAATAGGATCATCTTGAAAAACTCAATCGAGCAACAAGTCATATGATCTTTTCAAATGTTAAAATATTTCAATCGAATTCAGATGAAAATAGTGAAGATTGTCATTCATCACATGAATGAATGAAAAATACTTTTTTTCTCCTATACATATACACAATTATATATATGTGTGTATTTGTCACCTAGTTTCTGTATATCTCTTTTTTCTCTCGTTATAAATATCATTTTCTTTTCGAACATAAAATGAATTCTATACGAAATTGTATAAAAAAAAAACAAACGAAAATTTAAATTCAAATTAAATAATAACAAAGAAAATATTTCTATTTCCAGATGAATTTTTTTCCTATTAAATGCACCTATTAAAAAATGATTAGAAATTCATCAATAATTAAGATTTATACTTATGGTAAACTGAAGTTTGACATACGATACATAACAATACTGAATTAAATAATAGATATTTTTATTATCAAGCTTTTTCACTAAACCAATCCTTTACAGGAGCAGTAAATGTATGAGAAAAATCGATTATTCGATATAATCAAGTTGGTTTTATGTTACGCATCATGATGAAAAATGTATTTGTTTTTTTTTTGGTATTTACTAGCGGTCCTTAAAACCAATAAAGTATTATTTAGAGATATAGTGAATCTTTTATATTATTTTTTTTTTCAAGCATTTATAAAAAAGTAAATATGATATAAAACCTTATCAGTCAGAAAGCAAATAATAAGATAGTTGTGATACTCATTTTTTTTGCTCTTTTTTTTTTCAAGATGAGTTTTACGTGGTTTAATGAGCCTAAAAAATGGTCAATCAATGGATCAACAATTAATGTGCATACAGATGGTAAAACTGATTTTTGGCGCAAGACACATTGTGGTTTTGAACGAGATAATGGACATTTTTATTATCGTTCATTTTCAGGTGATCAATCTATTACAGCAACTGTTAATGTACGAGGAAAATACAATACACTCTATGATCAAGGTGGTTTAATGTTACGTATTGATGAAAAAAATTGGATTAAATGTGGAGTTGAATATGTTGATGGAAATCAATTTGCTAGTGTTGTTGTTACTGTTAATGGATGGTCTGATTGGAGTGTTGTTCCAATTAATTCACCTGATGTTTTAAAATTACGTGTTAAACGTGAAAAAGAAGGAGTACATATTGAATATGGTGAAGGTGAAAATGGTGAATTTAAAATGATGAGATTAGCTTATTTTCCATTAATAGACAAATCACAACCATTAATGGTTGGAATTATGTGTGCTTCACCTGGTGATGATACACAAGGATTTGATGTTAGTTTTGAAGAATTAAATATTATGGAAAATCATGAAAAACACTAAAGACATTCTATTTGATTTATTAGAGAAGAAAAATAAAATATTAATCATTTTAAAGAATAAAGCAATAATAATTTAGACATTCTTTAGAATATCTATGTGAATATATATAAATTCTTTGAGTATAAATATTTTTAAGCGATGTAGAAAAAGAAGCGTATTGATCATAATAAAAATCAGTGCATCTAACTTTACGAATAAAAAAAAAATACATCGTCATAATTATGGGAATGAAAACACATTGGCATTGACGATTATTTTTTATAGTTGTAAAATATGATAAAGTGGTTTATATAAAAGACCTTGTTGCCAACGATCATATTTATTTCATTTCCAAAAAAAAACCGAAATGCAACTTTCATTGATTTTATTATTCATTCCTTTGACTGTCATCAATAGTCAACCTACAGCACCAGTATGGCCAAATTATTTTACATATCAATGGACCTTGGCACATGTCTATGATGATATTCAATTGCCTCCTTATAGTACAATTCCACTTGCAAATACAACTGTAGGCCGCGGTCGAACATATTATGATTGGTCACTTCCAGCTATGATTGAATATTATTATGATATATGTGTTCCAATTTTTGAAGCAACGGATAATAATTTTTCATGTAATTTTTTAAATGTCAATAGTATAGCTTATCTTGTTGTCACTAATCCTCGTGCAACTGGTCGACCACCATGTTGTATTTTTCAAAATCCATGGAATCCACCAGCACCAGATTTCTTGCAAAAAGCACCTGGAGTTAAATACAATGGTACAGGTGTATTTTATACACGACCTGTTTTCTGGTGGGTTCTAGATGATCCACAAGATCCAGCTGGTCCATTTGGTTATTCATTTTTTGAAGATACATGCAAAGCATCATCAACATCGGAAAATATGATGTGCACACCATCCCAATTCTTTTTTCGAGCTACTTCTGGTTTTGCTAGTCAATTTTTTGATGATTATAGAGTTGAAAAACCTGATCCAAGTGTTTTCACTATTCCAGATTCATGTAGTAATGCTCAACCATGTGATGTTTGATATTTTTATCTAATTTACGAAAAGTCAATTTTGATTTTCAATAAATAGAAAAAACTTCATTTCAATAATCTTATTCTAACAGATTCACTAATAATAAATTTTAATCCATTTATAAATAAATAAATATCAAATACAAGAAAAAAACATTTTTTTTCTTTAACATCTCACGTATCATACTTATATATTATCA